TTCTTTCTCAACACAAGCTTTGCACTTAAACTTCAAGGAGGATGTTGAAAAAATGATGTGGTAACGTTTACAGCACATCTGAGCGTAACTATCAAACGTTTAACAAGATATAAGCAAAAAGTAGTTTTGGCCGCCATATTGGAGGACAAGAGTATGCCCTCCAACATGGCGGCCAATACAAATCATACTGCTTTGTTGAAAAATCAAAGTGCCATAAAATATCTCCCTTAAATGGGTTTCCTCTCAATTTTCGGGTGTAAGCTAATTTTTATGTGCTCTGTCAATTTTTGGCATCAGCAATATTCCAACTCATTGTTTGAAGGAAGCATTGGTCACGTGACCTCTTAGTGCAAGTGGCCTATTTCCTGTGTTCCATGCACTTGCTCATGTAAATTGATAAAAATACCTTGTCCACTAAACTTCCTCAGACTGCCATGCTTTTTCATCATTTGTGGGACATGATAAATCATGTTATGCACGTATGGTGTAATAATGATGGTCTGCATATATCCTGGGCCACTGCCAGACATGGCGACCATGTCCTTTCCCTGAATCAGTGCCTGCAGCAACAAACCAATAATTGAATTTTTTTATTTAGCATAGTCTTTGTACAGTGTTGAAGCCTTTTAAATTCTTTTGTCGTACTTGAAATTTGGTGGAAATGTAGAAATCTTTCTCAGGTACTTGGCAATATGCATGTACCAACCTTTCTCTCGAAGGTTTTTATGTCGTTTCTTTGTTGAGGTACTCCAGCAGCTGTCTATTAATATTTGCATTGAAACCAAAGAAATTTATGGGTATTAGTAACTTTCGTGGTTAGTCCTTTAAAAATCGTTAAGCTTTAAAACAGCAGCAGACGGGTCATTTTGCATTCACAAGAACTTCAAGGTTAAACATGCCAATCACAAGAGCGTTGCTGACTTCTGGTTTGAGATCGAGAGTTTTGTTCAGTTCCAACGTGCACTTAACAAACATAGTGGATACATCTTTCAAGTCCACAAAACGTTGGGGGAGAACAATGAGTCGAAGTAAGTTGATATTTTTCTTGCTATACTTATAAATTATTTATTTTCATAGAAACTTTGGGAATGTACAATATATCTTCTGACTTATGAAATGTTGGAGTGTGAGAGAATTTTGCGCCCAGGACTAAGCTCTCTGTTAACGTGTTCAAATAATTTTTACGTGCGAGTGGTATTGGGACAGGAAGGCGTAGAAAAACAAGAGTGTGTATTTTAAGCTACTTCAAATTGGATTAGTTGAAAGAAAGGTAAAAGCACAAAGGTACTTTCCAAATGGAAATATGAGCATGTTTCAGTTCGGGTCGATAAAGAAGGGTTCTCCAGCGCCTGAAGGGTTATTTAACTAGGTTTTTTTTTTAAAAAATACTAAAACACGAAATGACATTCTACGAGGTTTATTATGGCTTAAAATAAGCTAATGAACTACAATGAGCTAAAATGAAAAAAAAAATGCAGCTCTGAGAGAAAGAAAGTAATGAAATTTTCAAGGTAAAGAACCTATGCATCTGCAGTGCTATGATTAAAAAACAAACCAGGGTGCACTTTGCACCAATCAAAACCTTGTTGCTGAGCAAAAATGGAAACTCTTCAAACCAAACAAAACTTTGTTGCTGAGCGAGTTGAAACTCTTTACTTTGCGGTCTGAACCAATCAAAACCTTGTTGCTAGGTGGCGCGGCAGGGACATGGGTATTCAGATTGGGCGGGGGTACAGTTGAGAATGGGGGGTACCTTGCCTAATCCCTGTACGGCGTTTTCCCAGTCCCTCTCGGTCAATTTGTTTCGGTGACGTATCCGAGACGAACGGGCTAATCTTTACTTCAGCAGACCTTATTGACGCATGCGCATACAAAATGCCCTTCTGTTCAACTGCTGGGGAAGAAAATATGTTTATTGAGGACATCAAACTGTAGAGCGTTGAAGAGGCGGCTCCTCCTCAATTGCTTGCACGTGATGTCACGGCGGCCATGTTGGAGGTGAAGAAAAAAAGCATTTCTCTCCTCTTGCAACTCTATTTTCATGTAAATCCTTCAAGAAAAGAATTGTTTTGTATTGACCTTCAACATAGCCGCCTTGTCACGTGGTCGCAGACCAAGAAGATAGCACTAGAACTTACTAACGATAGGAGGTTAAAAGACAANGCTCCTCCTCAATTGCTTGCACGTGATGTCACGGCGGCCATGTTGGAGGTGAAGAAAAAAAGCATTTCTCTCCTCTTGCAACTCTATTTTCATGTAAATCCTTCAAGAAAAGAATTGTTTTGTATTGACCTTCAACATAGCCGCCTTGTCACGTGGTCGCAGACCAAGAAGATAGCACTAGAACTTACTAACGATAGGAGGTTAAAAGACAAGTCTCTCTACCAAAGACGCACAAATCTGGGTTTCTACTAAATATCACGTTTCATCCTCACTTGTTAAATGCTACTTTTTTCTTTCATTTAAAAAAGAGATTGACTCTGTCTTCGAGACTCGATAAGGAGCCCCTGGCTTTAATTAGACCACTTCGAAAATATGGGCTTTGAAAAAGCACCATTGTCAAGAATCGAGTTTCTCATATTGCAACTAAATAAAAGACGCGTCAAAAGCCTAAATGATAGCATGTATCATTTCTCCTGAATGGGCCACATTTCCAGGCTCCGTAATATTTAAACACATCGTGAAAACAAAATGTCATTACGAGAGTCCAAATGGTGGCTCGCATCACTATAGTGGGCAACAAAAACTTGTTTTGCGGCATTACATCGGGATGTTGTTCAAACCTTGCAAGAAATCAGAAAGTTGTTGCAATATTGGGAAGAGTTGTTGCAGAAAGTAGTTCTTCTTTTGCAAAAAAGTCTGTACATGTTTACGTTGCACATTTTACCAGCCCGGTGTAAACTTGTTTTGCAGCAACTGACGTAAATCCCCTGTATGGCGTGACTCAATTAAATTATAAGTCATTATTCACGCAACTTATCTTTTTAAATATGCATTTAATCTTAATTGTTTCTTCTCGTTTGTTTCATTATTTTCGAAGACATGATTTACATTATCTCTTGTATATTATTTTTTTCTAGATAGAGTTCTATGAATTTTTTTTTTTTATAGCTAGTGCTTTTGTAAATTTTTCATTAACATAGTCAGTGATCAAAATTAATTAATAATATTATAATTATTTTCAATTTAATGTGCTTAGGGCAGCAACTATTTAGAAATACACTGTAATAAATTGTTAGTAAAGGTAATAGCATGATTTGTGGAGATATTTGGCATAAATACCACAAGTGATATTTCAAAATTGTTAGCCGGGTGAAATATGAGACAGTTTTAAAGTATCACGAGTGGTATTGTAATTGCCTATATAAAGCTTCTTACGTTGCCCCTCTTCACCCAGGTGATATATAATAGGTACTGGCAACATATTGCAGGAACATATTGTTTTTTTATGCAGTTACCTTAGTAGCGGGGCTGTGCGGCATGTTTACCCTACCTTATTTTACACTAAAGGTTTGCTTTTTCCACCCTATTTTTGATCGGAACCAATCTTCGATACCCAGTATTTCAGTCCACACAACAGTGGGCACTCTTATACATGTTCTAAGCTACCCAAAAGCAGCTATGGGTTTGTATCAACATTACTTTTACAATGGCTTCAATCTTACGGATTTCCCAAGGAAGAAACAAAAAGTAAAAGAGGAGTTTTTTAAAAATTCGTACTCAACTTCAGACCAATTCGTTTATAAACCTACATTATTATTCATTCAAAATATTTCCCCAATTCTGATTGGCTAAAAGCACACGCATAATTCATCATTACTGATGACCAAATTTGGAAGAATTTTGTGTTTAACGAGGAAATGACGTCAAAAATGCAGCCTTCTACAGGTTAATGCACCGTTAACCAAGGAGACCTGGGGACGAGGTTGAGTTGTTTTTGTTGTGAAAACTAAAATGGCGGACACTTCACTCGTTTCAAGAGTAAGAACTACAGCTGGAACTAGGCGAAATAATGGCTAAAAACATAGCAAAAACAGCAAGAAGACTACTCGGAGGGCGACATCTGCTATCTGGAGAATATCTGCGGAGCTGGACAAACCTAAACGCGGACTATCGAAGATAAACTTCAACATCGATGCAGGTAAGCATGTTTTAGCTATGTTTTTAAACTAGGAATTATTTTGAATGAATAATAAAGCCATTAATGAATTCGGCTTTCGTAGGATATGAAGAATTAAGCAGATCTCGGAAGGTGTTATCCACCTCGACCTTCGGCAGTCTTTAGATAACACCCTCCTTGATCTGCTTAATTCTTCATATCCTACGAAAGCCGAATTCATAAATTGCTGATTTAAACAGGATCAATAGATTAAAGATCCACCCAAGAACAACATAGGCTCAAAAACTACCCCCTTTAATACTGCACACACTTAATAGGCTTAACATGAATAGGAGAGTGCTTCCCTCACCCCACCCCCCTTCTAGCCTGTGTCTATCCTGCATTACAGGCCCCTTAGAAGAACAATGCACGAGATAAGTGTGCGAGAGAGGAGGGAACTCGCACCCGAGGAAAGAGCGCCATCGTCCGTTTTTGGCGCCGTTACTGTCCTCATTGAAGTACTTCTTCTCGTGTCCCTTTTTTCCACAATAGTATTAGACAAATCTCCGACAAATTCCCAATTCCCACGGTATTTTTTAGACACCTGAAGTGATCCGCACATCATGACCAGAAATTTTGTTCCAAGAAAGAACATCTTAAGCTGAAAACAGCGCGTGATGTGACCATTTAGTTTTGTTACTACTCCTTCTCGCTTTGCTTACTGTTCTTAGACCACGTTTCTCGTCATGCTTGTGTTTCGAAACCATAATTCGGTAATCCACCTTCAATCGAGTTATCATTAATACCGTGCAACAAAATCTACTAAAAGCGATGCTAAACAACCCGGAAAAAAATTTCGACAGCCTGGTCAAAGCTTTCAGAACCCAGTAACCAATCCTAGTTAGCAAGTAAATATTCCAAGGCTTATTGAGCTTTCACGCTTTTTGCTTCTCATAGTTTTTTCTTCCGCAAAACTGTTTCTTTCTGAACCGGAAATTGGCACATCGTCCTTCTTGGTACTGTCGCCTGTCTTTAGAAGACTGTTGTTCAAATCTCCTTTTTTGCCATCACTACATGCTTCCGCCATTATTTCGTTCCCGTTACAGGGTAATTGTTTATTGTTATTACTTGATTTTTCTGCCGAAGACTTCTTCTTCTCGCGCAGTGACCGCACAACGCGCGCACTAACCCCATACTGCTCAAGCACATTGTTCATTGAACAAAATATGCTCGATACGAAAGCGAGACCCACAAACGCCAGGAGTACAAGTGAATAATCAGCGTTGTTCTTAAATTGCGGCAAGTAATCGCCAAAACCAATGGTACTCAAAGTCGTGAAAGTAAAGTAAAAACATTCGATATATGACCATTCCTTGTGTCTCACGTGAACCAAGAGAGCCATTAATGGTAGGAGACAAAGCACAGTTACCACAATCGTTGTCATCGCAACTTTTAGCTCCACTTTTTGAGGCAGATGTGATCTTTTCAAAACGCGTTTCTCGAAGTTTGTAATTAATTTTGTAAATAGTTCC